TCAAGAGTACAAAGGTCTCCATAGCTTCTGAAAACCTGCTGAGGTCTTGTCCGGCCATGGTCCTGTGCCAGGATATGGCCCAGGGAGCAGGCAGTGCTCCAAGGGGGCTGGAACCTCCCATCAGCCCCCAAGTCACCTCTCCCCTAGGTTTTCCAGTGGGTATGTTTCAATTCACTGGCAACACAAGGAGAATGGCATCTTACCACCCCCAAACTAGGGAGCTAGGGTTTACTTGGCTACCCTAAAATGTAAGGGTATGCCCCCACCCTAGAGTAAAGGGTATTGAGGCATGTGTCCAATGGGGCTGGTGGCCAAACTGGGTTCCTGTGGGATAAATCCTATAAGGGATCATGATCCAGCCCTGTGGTGGTTGAGTGAAGGGCCCCAGGATGGAAGAGGACCCCTTGTGACCAGGAGCCAGAGCCAGGCTGTTGCCCCCTCTGATCCACACCTTTATTCCCCCGTGCCACTCAGGTTTGTGCAGAAAATGCCCTCATCTCCACCAGCTCCTGGGCTGAGACACAACTGGCTGCTTCCTGGCTGTCCAAGGCACAATTTCCTGCAGAGGCCAGTCCCAGATTTGGGGGTGAGGAGGGATGCTGGCAAGGAGGAGAGCAGCACCCTCCCTGGGGCTCAGCACTCTAGTCCTCCCTAGACAGGCTTCCTTGTATATTCCCGGCGGTATTTAGCATCCACCCGCGTCAAGTACCAGGTGCCAGGGAAGAGATCAGCCTGGGAGCCGTGGGGAGCATGGTCGGCTGTGGGGAGAAGGTGGCGATGCTCAGCAGGGCCGCAGGGTGCCACACGTAGGGTGGGTATTGCATCCCTCCAGCCCAACTCACCCAAGTGATGGGTCTCCTCTCGCCGCTTCATGATCTCAGCAAAGTCCTGTGGGGCCACACGCTTGCGGGCGTCCAGGCGAGCCGGCAGGTCGGCCAGGCTGGAGATCAGCTTATCCAGGGGCGAGCCTGGTGGTGGGGGGACCCCCCCCAGGTGAGACAGAACCACCGTCAGCCCTGGCCCAGCAGCCCCATTTTGCCCTCCCCTCCCAGCCACCCTCTCCCATGGGGCTCACCCGGGGCTGCATCCTGTGAGACGCGGAGGGAGAACATGCTGGCGGCCAGCCCTGAGCCGTAGGAGAAGGCACCGATCCGGGAGCCAGCCAGATCCCGTGCCGATGACCTGCAGTGTTGGGTTAGGGGCTTCAGAGGGGATCTGGGGCTGGGGAGGGTGTGGGGCAATGGGATTTGCACAGGGTGCCGCCTCCTGCCCCCCTTGCAGGCAGAGGGGTCCTGGGACTCGGGGCTGCATTGTCAAGGGTGTGTGGCCCTGGAGTGTGGTGGTGCTGGGGAGCCCCAGGATGAGGCTTTTGTCCCCCCCAGTGCCTGGCTGTTCCCATGGCTCCTCCACTACAGGGTCAGTCATTCTGTCGGGCATAGCAATGGGGTTTTCATCCTCCTGGCACTGACAGGCTTTATGTGCCAGCCCAGCTCCAGTGAGCTGGCATGAAAAGGCAACTGGCAGGGAAACAGCACAGAGTGGAACTCATCCACACTGGGGGTTATGTGCAATGAAAGTGTTGGGTCTTAGAGGTGCAGGGGGCAAGGGATGAGTGATGTCACCCGCCCACGCAGCCAGCCAGGTCAGGGAACACCCTCCTGAAAATATCCTCCCCCCACTGCTGAGCCACCTTTTTGTGGGACTCACTGTGCCAGGAGGGAGGCCAGGCAGCCATACATCGACGGTGTGTACATGTTGCCATTGCGGGAGGAAAGGAGCAGGGAGGGCTTGGTCTTCTGGTTGAAGATCTCCTGGCTGGCCACCTGGAATGCCTTCTCCACATCCTTGCTGGTGTAGGTGTCCTCCAGCTTCAGGCCTCTGCCCAGAGAGAGGCTGGCTCAAACCCCACACAGGCACATCCCCGGCTGGGCTGGGGCACAGGAGACATGATGTGGGGACCCACCGAAAGGGCTGCAGCCCCTTGTAGAGGCCGGTGGCCGTGTCAGGGTTGGGGGAGGCCAAGAAGTCATTTAGCAGCAGCCGACCCACTGACTTCTGCACCAGCTTGCAGAAGGGTGTGTGGAAGATGATATACTTGAAATCATCGAGGGTGAAGGGCCGCTGGATGCCAGCTGGAAGGCAACGTGTGGTTGTCAGCATCCAGTGAGATGTCAAGGGCACCCTGGGGGTGCTGCTGCTTACCCTGCTGCCACTGTCTCTCCGCCTTGCGGCGGTACACAGCATAGCAGCGGTCCAGTGCCCGCAGGTAGCACTGGATGGAGAGCTGCCCATCCACCACTGGGTACTCGGAGGACAGGTCTGGCTTGTAGAAGTCGTAGGCATGCTCCATGTGGGTTCCCCGCAGGCCTAGGTGTACAGGGAGACCCAGCTATTGGAGAGCACCAAGGGGTTCCAGGGGGATGGCAAGCACCTAGGGCTGCTGCCTGCCTTAACCCCCAGCAACTCCCAGCCTCCCTGGGTTGCACTGCAGTACCCACAGGGATGTAGCTGGCTGGAAACCTGGAGTATCCAGCACTGGGCAGCCACTGGGGCCGACAGAGCTGGTGCTTGCTGGTGCTCAGCAGCTCTGTCTGGGGCTGGGACATGGATGTGTGACCCCCAGAGACAGCACCCATCAGCCTGCCATACACAGGGTCTCATGGCACCAACCTCTCTCCAGCACCAGTGGGGCGTTGGGTCCTACCAGCATAGCGATGGCACCGGCACCGCCTGTGGGCCGCGCGTTCCCTGTGGCGTAGACGGCGATGTCCCCACACACCACCACAGCATAGCGACCTGGAGGAGGACAAGGGGGCCAGCATGGCTGTCAGCAGGTGGGAGCCTCCATCCCATGGCCCTCTTGTACTCCTGTCCCCATGCTGTCAGGTGTCACGGCCAAGGCGAGCAAGGAACAGGGGCGATGAAGAGTCTGGAGAGACAGCAGATCCCTTTAAGGTTTGCTGCAGCATCCTTGGGTTTTAGGCCACCTTCTGCCTCCTTCCCCCATCTTATGGCACCCACCCAATATTCAACCCCCCCATGCCCATGGCACAGTCCCTGCCCACACCCACCATCCCAGGCACTAGACTCCACCCAGGCGGCTGCGTTGAAGAGGGAGGCCGTGCCCCCGTAGCAGGCATTGGTAGTGTCGATGCCCTCTACATCAGTGTTGCCCGAGTCGTGGAAAAGCTGCATGAGGACAGTCTTGACAGCCTTGGACTTGTCGATGACGGTCTCAGTGCCCACCTCCAGGCGGCCAATGGCATCCCAGGAGAGGCGCCCACGCTCCACCAGCCGCTGCACCACCGTCAGGCACAGGGAGTTGATGTCCTCGTGGGCGGCGCAGAAGCCCATCTGCTTCTGGCCCAAGCCCCGTGTGTACTTGCCGGCCTCCACGCCATCGTACTTCTCCAGCTCCTCCTGCTCCACGTATTGGGCGGGGAAGTACACCTCCATTGCCAGGATGCCCACGTCCTTGGGCCAGGTGCCTGTCCCAGAGGCACTAGAGAGGCTGTGGAACAGAGGGAGGGGTGGGGGACAGGTGGTGGCCACAACGAGTTGCCACCAACAAGCATCACAGGCTGTGGGCTTCCCAGATCTCTCCTAGTCCCCTGTGCCCTGCTGAGCTGGGGGGAGAGTATCCCTTTCCCCAGAGAGGTTTACGATCACTCTCAGCTTCCCACTTCCCCCCTTGGTAATGCCTCCACCCCACCTGATCCGCCTGGGTGCTCACCATGCCATCTGCGTGGCCATGAGGTGCTGGGCTCCCTGGGGTGCTCGTTGTGGTCCTGGCGGTACCCGCCTCGCCCTCCAGCAGCGCACAGCACGGCCAACCAAACGCAGCATCTTCGCCCCGGCCGCTGCAGGACTGGAGGGACGCGTGGCGGGACGGACAGCGGGACCTTGTGCGGTGCTTTTATAAACTGCGCAGGTGGCACGGCACAACCCCCTCGGCCTTATCAGCACGCTGGACCCCAGCGCTCAAAGGTCACCGAGCGCCAGCCAACACGACAGGGACGGCAGAGCGAGCGCTGGCTTTGGAGGGGCGAGCTTGCAAGACGACTTTGTCTTGTGCCCCAAAGCCTGGGGACTTGCTCAGCTGGAGCTGGGGCTGTGGGACAGCCTGTCCTGCTGCTCAGCCCTGGCTCCCCATGCCATGGGGCGGTGGCAGTTCCGGTGCTCACGGCTCCTCGGCATGGCTGTGGTCAGTATGTATGAGGTGTTGTGTGGCCTCCCCAACCACCCCTCCAGTCCTGGGGAGGGAGCAGAGGGTGGCCAGGCATTAGTTCCAGCACCATCCATGCCACCCGGGATGTGGTCCACCTCCGTCATGTGCCACAGCTCTGGGGGACGGAGCGGGGGGGGAACCCATGAGCTGGGTGGGGGCAGAGCTATCTTCAAAACAGCAGAGCAAACAGACACGTGATGTCTGTGGCAACATTACAGTGACACAAGAAAGGACCTTTGGTCCTGGTGCTGCTGTCAACATGGCCATGGGGCAGGATCACAGCCCCCAGATCTCTGTGGAGCTGTCTGCATCCCGAGGGGACACCTGTCCCCATGCCTGCACACTCACGACAGCTCCCATCCCTGCCCAAATCTGTGCCAAAGGTTTCCTCCATGCCTGCACCCTGGGGACACTCTTGTCCCTCCTACCTGCACCCCAGGGACACCTGTCCCATTTGGCACCAGAGGGCTGGGAATGAACAAACACGAGCACCTGGCCAGGAGAGCCGCCCAGCCT